GAGCATGGGAAGCTGAAAAGTCCTTGACTAGTGTAAGCACTACCTAGCAACAACTAAAACATCGGTGTGTTATCAACATTGTTCTCATCCTAAATCCAAACCACAGCACTGTACCAGCTACTAGGAAGAAAATTAACTCTATCCCAGCCAAAACCAGGACACTGTCTCAGGAATCCAGATGAAAATGGTAGAATTCATCTAACCAAACATTTGCAGTGCTTGGTTAGATGTCATTAATGGAGGTGAGATATAGACATCTCACTCTGGACAGAGTGGTAACATTAAGTGGTGATTGTTCTCCTCTGGAAGTAGATATCTAAATAGACCATATGATTTTTGTCCTAAAATTGCCTATTTCTCTGCATGGACTATAAAGGCAGTCTAAGATGAGTTGCTTTATATATAGACATGTACAGTGCAAGTGTATTTCTGTCTATGATCTGTGCAAGATTTTTATATCATACAGATTGTAACCTATATATAATAGTAGAAGAAATTATGGGTGTATCTGTCCTAACCAGCCACTCAGAAGGAGAAATTACTGACGTAAATCTTTGGCTTTGCTTTTGAAGATTTATTAAATGTAAAATTAGCATTAACACACTGAATTACCAAGTTTGGCTGTTGGAGCTGTATCTTTTTCCAGCTGTCCCACTTCCCTTGACAAAGTGAAAAAGGAAATAACTGGTGAGAATTAGGTTTCATGAAAGTGGTCAGATAAGCTCAGACTAGAAGGTTCCTTTTTTGTTCTAATAAACAGGAACTCGGTGCACAGGGTGAAGACTTACACTCATCTACTGTTGCAGCTTCTCCTAAATGGGTACTTTTATACTCCAGCTTCCTTAATTTTCAAGGTACTCTGACTGGACAGTGTCCGTGTTTGTTTTCTAATATGAGTATTTTCCTCACAGTGATTCCTGTTAGCTAGAACAGAATCCATGGCATGCCTTTCTCCATCTTTAAGATAGCTTGTGTGAATGATCTGTCAGGCTAGTCCAGTAGCCTTTATAGCCCGATTGTGTCTAAATAACATTAGTTCAGCTGAGAAGCTTTTGAAAATACCAAGGATTTAATTTTATTTTTTTTTTACAATTAGATGTCTATGTTATTTCTGGAGCTCTGTAGCTGCACGAGGTTACTGTTGCTAGTGTAGCTTTATCTGAGCACTCTTTTAATTACCAAGGGGCACAGGAGTCCATAGAACAGCGCTGGCAACCGGCTTGGGTTCCCCAAGGAAAGGAGCAGCGTAGTGGGGTGGGGCTTTATAATCTCTCTGGTTGCAGGGTGTTTAAAGGAGTAATATAAGGACTCTGTATAGTCAGGTACTGTAGGATAGTTTTCTCTGAAGTGAAGCAGCCTGAGCTGATAGAGGTTGTTGGGGGTTTTTTTATGTTAACATGCCATTGGGCTTGTGAGGAAAAAGATGTACCGGAGGTGAATCTTCTTTTGCTGTTTAAAGCATGCTTTTTTCCAGGTGTTGTTTTCTTTTTCTTCCCCCCCCCCCCAATTTTGGTAGTGAAATAACGGAGAAACTCCAGATACAGTCTTTTGGGGGTTTTGTTTATTTTTGACACGTAGAATGGAGTTACAGTGATTCCATGATTGATGGCGTCACGCATTTGAAAATAAGGCATAATTGCCCAGTTTGTTTGGAAAGTGCAGGTCTCTACGGATTTGTTTCTTTATTTAAACTTTAGTAAATAAACTGTATTTGTGATAGTGGAAAGCCTGCACACTGGTGTGATGGAGTTCATGTTTCTTGTTTTATATTTTTCTTTTTTTATCTGCCTCTGTGCTTTGGTGTGCCTGTATTTTTCTGGCTGCCAAGAAATGACATATAAGCATGAAGGTAAGAAGTTACTGATTAGCTCATCTGATTGCATTACAAGGAAATTAATCTTGGATCATTTTCATCATGTTAGATTAATTACTTGAAAATGAGATATTTAAATGTAAAGTGAAACTACTTTAGCAACAGAGAAATCAGATAATTTACTTTGGTGTGCCTGTATTTTTCTGGCTGCCAAGAAATGACATATAAGCATGAAGGTAAGAAGTTACTGATTAGCTCATCTGATTGCATTACAAGGAAATTAATCTTGGATCATTTTCATCATGTTAGATTAATTACTTGAAAATGAGATATTTAAATGTAAAGTGAAACTACTTTAGCAACAGAGAAATCAGATAATTTATGTGTAAGTATACCTAATCCAAACCATTAAAATATGTGGGTATCTTGAAATTTGCGTACAATATGATCTATGTGTCACTACTGATTTATAACATTCTAAACTTTGATGTTTACGGAGCATCATATTTCAGTAGAAGTGTTGATACTTGAGTTATAAAGACCTAATGCATAATTTTACTTTAAAATTATGTGAAAACATCAATATAAATCCACGTGAAAAATACTTGCTATTAAATGCATCGCAGTATTCAGTGGAAATTAGAATTGAAACCAGAAGTTTTCAGCAATTGACATGACTATTTTCTCAGTTATGAAGTTATGATTTAGAAGTAACAAATGTACAAATCAATATAAAAGAATCTTTAAGTTGTTAATTGAAAATGCTCCCATTTTTAAGAAAAGTTTGAATAAAACTTGAATGAAAATAGTGTATAGTTGCGAAAATCCAGTAAGTATTGTACATGCTTGTATATACTTTTGAAAAAACATTATGATTCAGCTTTTGAGCTATACGTGGAATCTCCCTGGGAGTCAGTGTATTTATTTATGCCTTATTATTTATTATAGTGTTTATCAACAAACTTTGTAAAAATCAGATGTCTTTTTTTCTTTTTTTTTTCTCTACAGCTGTTCCCTTATCAGTTAATTTGTTCTGGTTTTGCTGTGAATCACTTCTTGAAGCTAGTTGCTTCAAATACTAAATGATCAACAATAAAACCAGCTATTTTGTAATTGTGTCATGAAGAAATTCATACACATGTGATTAATATACAGTGGTTAAATACCTTATCTCTGTTTGTTTGTCTTCTAGCCTTCCTTACAACTTGAGGGTAGCACCATTTGTTTAGTCCTGTTTTCAACTCCCAATATTTACTTGTAGCATTACTGTTGGATGATTGTAGGCTGCAACCAGTATTCAGTGTGGGAGAAATGCTGGTTGGGCCATGTCCCAAGGACTAATTACACCTCATTTTTTGTGGTAAACTTATGAGAGAGGAGTCTGAAATGTTTGTAATTTGAGTGTGAGAGAACACATTGGCTTCTGGATAAGTCTTTATATTTCTAGAATAGAGCTTAAACCAGTTCCTCATTTCCTTTGTTGTGTTGAGTAGGACAGAACGGTGAACAAACTGGTGTAGCATGTGAATGCTGGAGGAAAGAATTAAATTATCCCAGGGAAGTGTTTGTCTTAAGTGCCTTAGAGATAGCTCTCTAAGGATCACAGTGCTTCCTTAACTGCGTAATGTGTCTTTACAGACACAGGTTTTAGTACTATAACTGCACTCCTTTTCTTTACTTGTGAATATACTAAGTAGCAAGTCTAGGGGTCTAGTAGCTTGCAAAAGGAAGGTTGTCCAAAAGCTCTTTGCCTTCTGTGCTGCATCATATTTATCTGTATGGATAAGGGTAACCATAGTGTATTTGGAAAAGATGTGGCTTTTGGGGAGCTTCTTTTGAGTGCATAAACATCCTTGCAGAAGGAGATTTTAGTAGAACCAGTTAATTTAAAAATGCAGTCTGAATGATTTTTTAATTTTTTTTTTGAAGGGCTCGTCTTAAGTGAAGCAATTAAGTGGTTCGGAACAGGGTCTTGAAGCTGTCTTTGGTAGTTTGAGTGGGATTAGCTGTACTGTGAAACTATGATGGAGTTGTTTAGCTGCTGAGCGATGAGATTGAGACCTGGTGGACCTTGGTAACCAGGGCTGCAGGCTGTAAATGGAGTGCATGGTGTCATGCATGCAGGCATCAAGTCACACCTACGAGCTGGATTTTATGGTACCACTTAATTCAGGATAGAGAATTTTGGCTGTTGATGGCAGCTGTGCTGAGCCAAAAGAATATATTAATCATTATGGGCCTTTGTGAGAAAGTGAAGACAGTACTTTGTAGACATACTGGAAGAATGTATAAAGTTAGATAAGTCTAGAAGACTGCAGTGAAAGGTAAACCTTTGGAATTCATCATGAGATAGGGCATTATAGACAAAATAAACCCTTTCAATATCTTGAATGAAACTGATAACTCCCAATTCCATTCACTTAGCCAGTTTGGCTTTGCTGAGTTGTAAGATGTCTGATGTTCTGAATTAATAACAACTGATAATTTTTTTCATTCTTTAGGCTTTTCTAATGAACAGAGCTTTTATCTCCTCACATGCATTTTAAAACAAAAAACCAAACTGTGACATCAGGATCTGTGATTCAGCATCAAGCAGTGCAAAAAAAAATGGAGACAAATAGACAGATTTTTCTTCATCTTCTTAGAGTCACCTCTCTCCACTAGCCTCCCTGTCTAGAATGCTTCATAACCTGACTCCATTTTTCCAGCAACACCTTTTTTTTTCTTTTCTTAATTTTCCTGCTTCTCTGAGTTTGTGTTTGGGTTATTAGAACACTTGTATGGTGTAAAAAGTTAGGCTTTCTGTTGATTAATAACCATTAATTTTTGTTATTGTTATTTTGGAAGGGAAAATACTTGAAAAACTTTTTCTAGTTAAATGTTTAAGCAACTTTTTTTTTTTGTAGCAGCAGAATTTTTGTAGCAGCAGAATTTTCTGCGGAAATTTGCTGCTTTCTGAGCATATGTTAGGAAACTGATGGAAAGGGGGCTCTTAAAATGGTAAAAGAATTATTGCAGTTGTGATGTTTTATATAAAACATCACATTTTTCACAATGAACGTAGTACTATTTATTTCCATTGGCTACTCATTTTCTCTAGTTTTCTGTAAGCATGCATTTAATTGATTACATTGTGTAAAATTTTTAAAATCTGCATTGAAATGCTGTTTTTCCCAGTTTTTTTGGTTAGTCATAATATTGGAGCGAACTTTTGAAAAAATTGAGAATTATGGTATTGGAAAAATAAATGGAAAGCAGCAATTTATACTTTTAAGTAGGATTTTGCAAAATAGATATTATAAATCAATCTTTTTTTTTCTTTTTTAAAATTAGTATGAATGACAAAATTTTTTCCACATTGTTCTTCAGAGTATTTTTTCCCTTTTGGTTCTACATCTTATATGTTACATCGTACCGAGTTACTTTCTTCTGAATAGATATTGGATTCCTCTACTGTAAATCTTGTAGGATCTGTATGATTTTGGTAATTAGCTTTTATAGTTTTGCTAAAGCATTATTCTATTGGCAATTACCCAGTGCTGTGTGCAGTTCAGTTCTTGGATGTTCTTATACAAATGATGTTGAAAAGTAGCTAAATTAATCAGAGGACAAGGGTTTACAAAGGAACCTTTTTTCTTCCTTAAATACTAAAATAATGGTCAGAGAAGACCTTGGCAACTGCTTCCTGGGTCACTGGGGTTTTCCAACTGTTTTGCTAGTAACTAAGAAAAACTAACTTTTCAGAGGCATGTTGTGGAGACATTTTTTGGATTTGATGAAGAATCTGTTGATTCAGAAACATCATCTGTAACTTCATATAACACAGATAAAACAGACAGGACACCAGCAACGCCAGAAGAAGATTTGGAAGATGTAAGTAGTAGGTGATTTGACATGGAGTATGAATGCAAACATTTTTTTCACCTCTTCTGCCACAGAAACTATGAAAGATTTGGCAGAGAATTGCTTTGTTTTGTTTCAAGTCCAGTAATACATCCACAGTCATTGCAATAGAATTAATAAGATAATATTCTGCCTGACAGATTTGGCAGATATGCAGATATTGGGCTGAGAAATAAACTTGTTTTTCTCAAACCCTTTCTTATTAGTCAAAAGAAAATTAATAGGCACGTTGCTTTGCCAAAAGTCAATAGTTACTAGACAAGTAACTAGACAACCTTATAAGTTATTCGACTGTTTTGATACAACCAGGATTTCCTTCCTGTACTTACAATACTCAGAGAGGCTTTTGCAATTCATTAAGGCTTAAATGATCATAGGTAGTAAATACCCACTAACAAGTTTTGTTTCAGCTCTGTGATATGCACTGCAGCTGGCCTACTTCAAAAGATTGCAGGGCTGAGGACAAAGTATGAATTAGATGCTCTTTTTCATCTTTCTTTCCTGTTCACTAACTTGTGCCTAATACTGCTCAGTCACAAGAAGCTTCCTATTTTTCTAGGCTTAATATCTAATAATACCGTAATGTAATCTCTTTTCCTTGGAGCTTGAGTTCCTGGAGCAAAAATTAATTAAAGGGAAGGACATTTCTTGCCCTCAGCATTATAGGAAAGACCTTGAAAGTGTTGATTTCAGTTGGTCAAAATTCAAAGAAAATTAAGACATTAAAAATACTTCATGTTAAAAAAAAATTTAAAAAACCTTCTTATGGCTTTTGAAATATAACTTCTGTGTTAGAGTGCTTGTGCTGGTAAAATGCTTTACCCTGGCATTGTAGAGAAAAAGAGTAAGGAGGCAGTGATGGACTGCATGACGAATAGAATGAACCCCTTCTGAAGCCCCTGTGGCTCTGGAGTTGCTGAAGACAGTGGTGCATAGAACTGTTCCCTCTCATCTTTCCCCAGTCAGTTCCTTCCCAGTTTCTATACGTTACTGCCTTATATAGTAACTTATACTGTCCTGAAATTGTAAGGTAGACACAGTTACTGATCCCTGCATTTTTGCATCATCCTCAAGTCATCCTTCCTTCCATTTCCACTTGTTTTAGTTTTTTAAACCTGTATTAAACTTTGAGACTCAGTGTGAGTTGTGTTGCTTGTTATGTTTGTGAATCTATCTGTCTATATAAACAAACCCATTATCGTATATATTTATACAAAACCACTTTTTTTCCCTCTTCATTAAGAGCACACCTAAAGAAGAAGCTGAACTAAGGTTCTGCCAGCTAACAAGAGAGTATCAAGCTTTGCAAAGAGCTTATGCATTGCTTCAAGAACAAGTTGGTGGAACCCTGGATGCAGAGAGAGAAGCAAGGGTAATTTTTTAACTGAAATTTCTTTTAACTCTGAAATCATTGAAAAAGCTGAAAAAACTTGGAATAGCAGGAGATATCTTTGCAGGTCAGTGAAATGCAAAGCGCAATGTTTTTGAGGATTAGAGGATATTATCAGTAAAAGGACAATTTAGATTTATCTGGTGCAATCAAAACAAAGATATAGTTATACTTTATTCTAGCATGCATAATATATTAAAGATTTCAGTAGTAAGACAGTTTTATTGAGAATGATATCCCAATTGAACCTGCAATTTGGATAGCAACATGATGGATTTAAAGTGAATTGGAGAATAGGTTGTTATAAGTACTTAGGTACTTTTATCATATGAGTATATTAAAAAGCTGACCCAAATCTGACAAAAGAATTTTTTCTTCCAAGTGTTTTGTCGAATATATGAAATCATAATTCGTTTTGAAAAAAAGTCAGTTTAAGAGTATTCTTACATTAAAAAGTACATAGCTAACTGTTGTTCCTATTAGGTTAGCATGTGTGATTGTTTACTCACCCTGAAATAAATTTTTCTTTATCCTCACAGCAATCTCTGTACTATAGGTATTTGAGGTGTGAGAGAGTATGTATTCTGTTTTCATTTACCCTTCTGCCACCACTGTGTTTAACCATTTAGTGCAGAGATGAGGTCAGCAAAAGTCATGCTAACATCTTCCTTTCTGTTTTTTCCAAACCGGGGAGGAGAGAAATCACTTCGTAATGAATTGGTGAGCTCTGACTCAGTCCCCAGATCTATTAACTGAACAGCAGTGGCATCAAAAAAGAGCTGAGTTAACTAGAGGCAAAATTTCTTCTACTTTATCCCAACTCCTTGCAGATAGGGGCATGTCTAGAAATTCAGTGTATTTACAAGTCACCCTCTACTTGAATGACTATTGTGATCAATGACCAAAGAACATGTAACATCCAAATGGGCAAGCAATAGCCATAGGGCTGGAAACTTCATCATCTTCACCTCGTGTCCTTCATTCTGCATCAAGTGCAGCTTGAACCTGTAGATTACTGAGATAGTTGACTGATGTCATTGCAAGGCCACTCTCAATTATCTTTGAAGGGTCATGGCAATTGCGGGAGGTTCCTGAGCAAATGTCACTCTTGTCTTCAAGAAAGACAAGAAGGAGGATCTGGGGAACTGAAAGCTAGTCATTCTCACCTCAGTCCCTAGGAAAGGGATGGAGCAAATAATCATGGAAACCGTTTCCAAATGTCTGAAAGACAAGGTGACTGGGAGTGATCAGCATGGATCTACGAAAGGGAAATCATGCTTAACCAGCTTGATAGCCTTCTATGATGAGATGACTAGCTTGGCAGATGAGTTGAGAGCAGTGGATGTTGTTTATCTTTACTTTAGTAAGTCTTTTGACACTCTCCCCTGTAAGATTCTTGTAGACAAACTGAAGCACAGACTAGACAAGTGGACAGTGAGGTGGACTGAAAATTGGCTGAAATGGCTTAAAGGGTTGTGATCAGTGGCAGAAAGTTCAGCTGGAGGTGTGTCACCAGTGATGTACTGCAGGGGTTGATACTGTGTCCAGTACTATTTAACCTCTTCCTTAATGACCTCGATGAATGAACAGAGTGCACCTGCAGCAAGTTTGCAGACGATGCAAAATTGAGAGGAGTGGTTCATACGTGAGATGATTGTGCTGCCATTCGGAGGGACCATTCGACTGCCTGAAGAAATGCGTAAAGAGGAATCTCATTAAATTCAACAAAGGGAAGGATAAGTCCTGCATGTGGGGAAGAGTAACTCCGTGTACCAGTACAGACTTGGAGCTGGCTTGCCAGCAATGTGCCCTTGCAGCAAAGAAGCCCCTCCTGGGCTGCATTAGGAAGAAAGTCCCCAGCAGACCAATGGAGGTGATCCTTCCTCTCTACTCAGCATTGATGAGGCTGCATCTGGAGTGCTGGGTCCACGTCTGGGCTCCTCCAGTACAAGAAAAACATGGACATATGGGACAGAGTCCAGCAAAGCGCCATGAAGATGATTAAGGGCTTGGAGAACCTGATACACAAGGAGAGGCTGAGAGAGCTGGGACTGTTCAGTCTGGATAAGAGAAGGCTCATGGGTATCTTATCAATTTGTGTAAATACCTGATGGAGGGAGTAAAGAAGATGGAACCAGACTCTTCTCAGTGGGAACCGGTGAAAGGACAAGATGCAACAGGCACAAATTCAAATACAAGAAATACCATTTAAACATAAGAAAAACCCTTCTTCCTCTGAGGGCAGTCAAACATTGAAACAGGTTTCCCAGAGAGGTTGTGGAGTCTTCATCCCTGGAGATATTCAGAACCGCACTGGACAAGGTCTTGAGCAACCTTTTCTAGGTGCTCCCCCTGCTTTGAGCACAGGAGTTGGACAGGAGATCCCTTCCGACCTCAATGACACTGTGATTCTAAAAAGTGGTTAAGCATTAAAAAAACCCCTGACCTACTTCCCGCCCCCCCCAAAAAAACCCCCAAATCCCAAAAATGGAAAAACGTGTTAAATATTGTGAATTATTACGTATTACTGCCTTGCTACATGTGGCCTTCGTTGTATGGTGCCACTGGCCTTGCTACATGTGGCCTTCATTGTATGGTGCCACTGAAACATGTTGCTAATAATGCAGAAAGACAAAGATTTTAATGTGGTTTAAAAATTACTGGTGGGGATGGACTCAATTTATCCCAAAGGTAGGAGCTGCCACTAGCTTAATGGTTCCACTGCTTATAACAATTAATAAAATATTCACAAAATTCTATATTGCTAGATTGCTGATGGTTATTAGGCATACACGTGCACTATTTTGTCCAGGTAATTTTCTCCGGCAAGCATTTTAAAATCCACTTACTGAATATTCTCAGGTATATAAACAGCATGCTTGTGGGAGCAGAATTTCTGTGTGTTAATAAGCAAAGCTTTCCAGATAAAAGTTACAGAAGAATGTAGACTGCTTGACATTATCTGGAGTTATTTACAGCTCAAAAAGTTAGTCTGTTATCCTCAGAGCCAGTACTTAGAAGATTCAGGGTTTACTTTAAAATGTGTCATGTTTTGTTTTGGGTTTTTTTTCCAAGGTTCTTTGAAGTGGCTCTCAACCAACCTTAACTTTTTTTTTTTTCCTGTGAAATACAGTTCTTATAATAATAGAATTGTTGCTCTATGGCTTTATTTGTTAGAGTTCTCAGCATCTTACAAAAACCTAGTCACATTTGACACTCTTTTTAAGTAGGACACTTAGCCAAGGAAAGCAATAAGGACTTTGGAGATCATTTTGCAAGCTAGAATTGGGGCGGGGAGCATAATTACATCTACTATTAAAGTAAGATTTCAGAGGCACTCATGTATTTGACAGTTATGAGAGACCATTATACATTTCCTTTGCCTTCATGGGAAGGGAGACCCTGGTATGAATATTTTTGTAATAGCTTTTTTAAATTTTATTTTGCAGGCATTTGCAAACTGTCCCTCTAGTACACTTTGGAATTGTTGCTCTTTCTTTTTAATGAAATTTTGGATTCTTTTGTCACATCCATGCAAATCCATCTTTTGAGTGAGTCAGAAGGTAGCTTTTTGCATGGTTAGTTTTGTAGGGCCCAATGTTCTGGTGGGATGAACATTTCCTATTACTTTTAGATGAGGCTTAAGGTAAACAACAAGGACCCAAAGATGCAGAAGGAAATCCTTGTGGGAATTTTTGAATTGCTTGGATGAAAGAGTACCTGAAGTAGGATGGAAAAAGTACTTGCAGTAGCTCAAGGAGCCTCAGTGACTGAAGGTCTCCAGAGATATCCTTTGGTTTATATCCTTTTTGTTTAGTACCTTGTATGATTCAGTCCTTTTTAGGGCATCACTGGACTCAGGAGGTAATACCTACTGTAGTGTAACAGTTAGTGTAATAATCATGTAGAATGAGGAAAACTGATTGGCGTGTGCTGTTTATTTGATATATAAACTGTTTTGGGTCAATATATTTTATTTACCTATAGGCCTTTTTCAGTGCTTATTGCAATTCTCTTTCTCTCTTGCCCCTTTTTTCCCAATTGCCTTGAATTACTAAAGCTTATGAATAGCTTCTTAGAGCTCTTTCAGTTCCTAACTTCTTTTTTTTTTTTCCCTGGGAAGAGCTTTGTCACTGAATATGTGATGATAACATCTTTTTAGGCTAGGAAGGAAAAATGCTGTTAAACCGATGGCTTTAAATATTTTGTAACATAAACACAAAAGCCATTATTTTAATGAAAAGCATTAAAAGCTGACTAGACAGCCCATAAGTGGGTAGAAAGTATCTTTACTTTGATTCTGTGTGTGATTAAATCTACCTGTCTACCTGGATGTGCATATACACACACTTTTTAATCCTTTTTTCCCCCAGACTCGTGAACAACTGCAGGCTGATCTTCTCAGGTGTCAGGCAAAAATTGAGGACCTGGAGAAAGCTCTAATTGAGAAAGGACAGGTAAAAGGCTCTCTTAATGTCCTCTACGACATCATTTTCTCCCTTGCATGCAGTGGTGCCCTTGCCATCTTCATTGCTTGCTGGTGTGTTAGTGTGACTGATGCAGCTTAATTGCTACTCCAGCAATAGATTACTTAAATAAAGGACAGTATTATGTAGGCTAAGAAAATGCCATTAAAGATTCATTTTCTAACACATAATACGCTAAAGCATAAGACTGAAATAACTGCATGTATGTGCATTGTAAATTCTGTTCCCATTGTCATTTGGTGCAGGCTTTTCTCCTGTTTTCCGTTTTGTTTATATTTGTTATAAATTCCAATAAAATTAATATTCTATATTCTATCTGGAGAATATTTTTGGTGTGTAGCATAGAAAAAGTCAAAACCCAAATCACTTCCACACACACTTCAGCTAGAAAAATGAACCACTTGGTGTGCCTGGTTAATGGAAGCCACTTGCGGTGTTACTCTCTGGAGCTTAAATTCGTAGAGGACCCAACTGCTTTCAAATTCCCATACCATCACACATGGTAAAATTAGGCCTTATGTTTCAGTATATCTTGTAAATACTTGACAAAGATGTGGCTACTGATGCATATTTAGTAAAGTCTAGGATCTGAAGACTGATTAAAGATTATGAGAGTGCATTTAAAAGATGCTCAGTTGCATAACTGCTAGAACGCACTGAGAAAGTTGGGGAGAAGTTATTTTACGCTTTGTTGTTTGAAATAACAATTTTAAAATTGCAGGTAGCATATGGTAATAAAATAAGATATAGGTATCTATAGGTATACATTTCAAAGACTAATGATCCTGTAGCATTGAATAAAAGCAACCTACGAATAATGCCAAGTTAATGGTATTAGTATTTCTATGGTTTATTCTTTGTAAGAAAAAACTTTCTGTAAGATTCTGTATAAATACAAAGGTTTTGGGACCATATTCAAGTTAAGGATAAAAATTGTTTATGCTAGCTTCCACACAAACTGCAATTTGCTTAGTAAATTCCATGTAAATAAAATATTACTAAAAATAGAGAATATGTTATCAATCTAAAAATGATGGCTCACTGAGCTTTTGGAAAAATAAATGGGACTGAAGACCTCTCGAGGATCTACTGCTGACATTTTAGTGTGTTGATGATAAAGGTGTTGTGGGCAAATTGCCGTGTAATTGAAAACATTAACAAAATAGTTGACTATTACAGTGTAAAATGTAAGTGCTGTGTATGTAAATAAGTGAACATGGATACCCATGTAAGAAAGTACTTCTGTGATTTTGCTTCCAGAATGGTACATCAAAAAGATATGCCTGGAAGTTAGAATTTAATTAGTTATTACTTTATGAGATTCATAACCACATTTTCAACCTTGTATCTCTTCGTAATCCTGAGAAGGCCAACAGGGACGTGACAAGGAGCAATATGATATTGTCTCTAGTGGGCTAGTTTGTACGCTGAGCATTAGCTTTCCACAGAATTGGTGACAGCGTCTTCCTGGGAGTTCTAGCACCTGCTCAGTTCTCCTGACCTGTTAGTATTTACATTCAACAAAATAAATGGTTGCGATGATAAACTGACTTCTTTGTGCACTATGTGATTTTTTTATTTTATTATTATTACTTTGTCATGTAGGTGGTCATGGTAGTGATGATGATATAATAATGCTTGTGAAATGTTCATTCGGGGAACCAGTCCCTAAAGTACTTTTGAAAAGGAAACAGTGAATCAAAAGATCCTAGTGCATTATCCCAGGAACTTTTAGTCTTACTTACAGCTTTAGGGAACAGAAGCAGCAAAGACCTTCACAATTTTCCTGAAGTCAAATTCAGAGCAGGAGATTAGAATCTTATTGTTAAAAAATTATTTGAAGCTTGGCTTATAACTACTCGTGTAATTTCAAAGTAAGTGTCAATGGCTCATGTTAATATCTCGATCAGCTCAATCTGTCAGAATTCCCTTAGATGTAAAATAAGACTAATAATCCATTTTTGCAAGGTACATTGAGGTGCATGCATAAGAAACATTATATTAAGGGAAGAAATTCTTATAAAATATTAATAGTGGTAAATAATAAATCTCAAAATATTGGAGTGTGTAATGTGCCAGATGGATTTTTTTTTTTTTTAACGCTCAGCTCTCTCAGTGTGACCTGGTGTGTACATAAATACAGTCCCATTGAAGTTAAGGTTTTCTCAGAAAGTTGAACTGAACTAACTTCATCAAGAAAGACACAAAGTTAATTGTCAATAGGGCAAATTAATCAATTTTTTCTACTTGTGTCAACTGGAGTAGTTGAACCTGCAGGTCTGATGTAACTGTTGAACCTGCCTTTTACCATATGCATGCATTGGGCTGTCCACCCTAAGTCTGTGAGCGCAACTCCTTGTTCATTCCTTGACCTTAGTAAAATGCTAGTTAAATGTTAAACTAGACATTGGATTTTATTTTCAATATTTCTTTCAAAAATTCTTGACAAATGTCATGCCTTTTCAGTACTCATTTTAGTATATTATTCTTAGTATGATACTTTTAACGTCATAACCCTGAAGAGCTTGTTTACTGCATGAAAGTTAAAGTGCACTTGCACATTCTTGTATATGAGTGGGAAAAGGAGAGAGAACAGTAGAATATGAAACTATAGTGGACTGTAGGTAGAAAAACTAACTTTAAACTTTTTTAAAAAATGCTAATTGGAGTAAATATTATATCATAATGTTTTAGATTTTTTTGGTTGACATTTCAAGGCTAGTTAATGGGCTGGGATATCCAGATTTCATTAATTTCTCGTGCAGCATCAATGTGTAAATACCTCGCTGACAAAGAAAGAATCAGCCTTAATACTTTAGTAAAGACATTTAGATGTTAAATAAATTGTCCTTTTTACCTAGAAAAGAATTTGATCTATAGTTAGTATGGCATATTAAGTGTTGGCTATTGTTTTATTAAACTTATTAGAGCAGTGTGAGCTAGGTTATGTAAATACTTTTCTCTAGAGGGAGAACAGAGCGAATTTGGCTGTTAAAACCCATTAAACCAGAATGTCCAGCTATGGCTGGAGTGAGTTTTTGTAACTTGGGTCTTTAAAGGGATATTGGATGAAGCCTTTTGAAGCCATGGAAAAACCTAAAAGGAAAGATCAGCTTTGGAACAAGTGATCAAATGGAAATACAGTTTTCAAATGGAGTATAGAATATCTTATATCCCTTCCCTTCCTCCATAGCCTTGAATTTCTTATCACAAACACTGTGTATTGGCCTGATTCTCACACTTTTAGCAGAGGGCAATCAACGGCATACCACTGAAGCTTATTTTCAGTCATTTGGGGTAATTAAATGTTTTTCTTACCTTTCTCCATTGGGATTTGCATTACAACACTCAAAATGGGATGATTTTGCAAGAAAGTTCCCAACTCTTTGCAATGGAAAGAAATAGTTTTGAGTTAAGCTGAGTGAATAAATGTTTTTAAAATGACATAAAATATAACTGCGTTCACCCACAATTGTTATATGTAAAGATTTTAAAGTGTATGCTTAGCTGGAACATATTAGGAAACAAGAGACTCAGCTTCAGGAAAACAAAGGAACTTTTATTTTCTCTGTAGTTTAAAATGCTAGTTATCCTGGAAATATTTATGATAGCTTTATTTTTTTATGTGTGACCATTTTTTGTACTTGAACTTACAATGATGTCTGAAACCTTCTAATTATTGTGGTTATTCATTTGTCAAAATGTATATGATTTTGATGTTTTTAATCCTCTTCCTCATAGGATTCAAAATGGGTAGAAGAAAAGCAGCTGTTAATCAGAACAAATCAGGCGTTGCTAGAGAAGGTACGTGTTTAGAATCTGGGAATATTTTCACAATTGCTGTCCTTTATCATAAAAGGAATGGTAAAAGGAAATGAACGTACTAAGTACTGGAACATCAACATGAAAATTGCTTACTTTATTTCTCTCCAGAAACAGAAATTCTGATGAAAGTCTCTGATTAAAGTACCAATATGCTTTTGTACTCTTTGGGAATGGAAGCTGCTCTTTATTGTGGAATTACATGTTGTATAGCCAACAGTAGAACCCAAGCTGGCTGATGTTTCTAGTGTCCAACAAAATACTAAAATATTAAGCATAATGTGGAATCTTGTATTTTGCCAAACAGTTACACAAAGATTATTATTGTCATGATCACTAATAAAATTGCCTTCTCCCTTCAGCCTTCCTTTTTTTTACAGTTTTCCCACACATTAAGTAATACTGATTGATTTAAGACTATTGTATCATTTACTGTCTGAGATACTCAGAGCTGAGCATCCTCATTGTTCTTCACTGATATTGGAGGGAAAGTTAGCTAGTACCCAGGAAGTCAAAGAATTATTTTTGTTAATTAGTAGCTCAATATTAATATAGTAGGAATAAGACAACCAAAGAAAAATTCATGACTAAAAGTAGCTACAGCCAGACTTAATTTATTCAGACACTTACATGGGTATTATAAGAGTTATAGTACATTATGCCAGATGTTACACTTCTATTTAGTAGTATTTACTTTACATTAGTTGGCATAATGAATTTCTGTCATTGTTAGTGCCCCAAAGCACAAATCTAGAAAATTAAAAAGGAGGCACTAAACCCCCTCCATTATTGTCTTTCATATACCATAAAGAGTAGATGTCTAGTTATGCAAAGACAATGAGAACAGTCTACCCAAATGTTAATGTAATCCAGTTTCATTCACTTGATTTTAAAAGGAAGCCTGTACTGCTTAACTTATTTAGATGTAATATTCATATAACTTTTCGTACTACTGACTTCCAGATTAGTATTCTAAGAGATCATTGACCATTTTCTGCTGGCAGTTCTCGCAAATATTTTCTGATGTGATGTTCCTTCTTTATTTCTAAGACACGGCCCAACTTCTAATGAGAAAGTGAAATAATTAACAGCTTTGTCTAAACCCCTGGCCTGTAACTCTGTACAGTACCTTTTCTATTGCTTACGGGGTGTTATGATGTTGTGTTTGTCTTACAGATTTACAGAATGGAACAAGAAGAACACCAGCTGAAGAACGAGATGCAAGATGCAAAAGACCAGAATGAGCTGTTAGAATTCAGAGTGCTAGAGCTTGAAGTAAGAGATTCTCTCTGTTGCAAACTCTCAAATGGAGCAGAAATTATGTTTGAACCCAAGCTGAAATTCCTGTAAAGATTACTGATGTCTGGTGCATGTTTAAGGGAAATCACTTAGGTATCTATTTTTTAAATGTTGTATCTTGGGATAATGAAATTGATACCACTGCCTTAATATGTTTTGGAGAGAGTGCTCACTAATGTTTATAAAGATGTAATATAGCTAATATATATTGCATATAGTTTGTTTTTCATCTAATAAAATATTTTGTTTTGCAATATTTTGCCTTTTTTATTTGTTTCATTTCCATAACTGCTCTTTTCCTGCATGTAAAATCACTTGGTATGTATAGTACAGCCTTGGTTGACATTGTTTAAATTAACACACCTTCTCACGTCTTGCATGCAGTGAAATCTAAAGATCTGACACATCCATCACTTTAATGTATAATTGCTTTTAATTACATTAAGATTGACAACATTAATATGAAGTAAAATGATCTTAAAAGAACACATTTTGATAGCAGCTTTGAAAGAATTTCTCTTACCTGAAATCCATTTTCTGATTGTGTAACATGGTCATGGACTGGAAATAATTGGCATCAGTCAATGAAAAAAGGAAACAAAACCCTCTGAGAATGTCAAAGTGGTGAAGCGCGAGTACAACTTCTGTATGTGGAAGTAGTATGTTGCCCATAGCAAACAAATTCAATACTTTGCATAAATGAAATAACAGTGAAATTATTTGAACATGTAGCATGTGATTACAGTAGAAGGCGATGGTTCTCATCACCTCGTAAATGGGGCCCATGTTGAATTTAATAACACTAAACTACTTGTGTGTGATGCACAGTTGTCACACGGTTGTATTGCCTGATAACACATTGTTCAGTTTCAAAGATCATCAGCATTCTTAACACCATTTAGAATAAACTCTCCAAGAAACCTGTCATTGTCACTCCTCCATAGTTTTCATCACCCAGCACGTTTCACCAAAAATCTTGGCATGTGTAACTTCTCTGATAGAGATGAAAATGTCATGTCTTCCTGTTACGTGGATGTTCTGCTTTTTGTCTTTGACATTTCTTAATCTTTTTTTAAACCTTTACTTTATCAACCATACATTTTGATGTCATAGCCCATTATATTCAAAATTATGAATGTAGGATATTAGAATTTCAGTAGATGTTTGGGAAAATAAAAATGCTTTCTAATATATATCTTTATATTTTATTAAGCAACTGTAAAGTAAAATACTGAACAATTTAGCATTTGAGTTGGCAGTCATACTAGAAATCACATGAAAAATAGCTCAGTGTGATGTGTTTTGTTTTGTCATGTGCCAAATCTTTAAGGACTTGTTTCGCAGAATAACAATGGAAGTATTTTTGTGTGACTGCAAGAAAAGATTGTTTTCCTTAGTAGGCAAGCATTTAGACACAAATGTGACTAACAATGTGAATGCTTTAGCAAAATGATGAATGCTTCTGGTAATCATGACAGTATTTTTTTGAGAGCAATTAAATTATTTCGGATGAAAATTAGGCTAGAGTAGAAAACATAAACATTTGTCTATCATTTAATGCAAGCAAATTCAGGTGAGTTTAATGCAATGAAATAATTTTTTAAAAAATCTAAAATGGTAACTGAATTTGGACAAGAATTAAGCTTCTGGTGTTGGATTACAACAGCTAGGTCATTTAAGCCCATTTCAAAATTAGGCTGTTAATGCAAAAATTATTTAAAATAGAGCCTATGAGGGGGAAAATTGTGCAGAGTACAAAGATTTTTTCCCTCTACGTTGTAGTTTCAAATTAGGTTTAAGCTAGTTAATGAACAAGAGTTGCCATGCTTTGTAACTTGCTTAAGTGAATGCATGCAGCCTGCTTGCCATATCAATTAAAGCACCTGAGTTAGGAAATTGGGCAATGCATGGATGGTCATAGGAACTAAAATATTTGCGGTAGCTCTCTTTCATTATACTGTCAGAAACTGAAGCTCTTGTTGTCAGTGCCTCCTCTTGTAATATGGAGAGGAAATCTGATTTTCCTCACTCGTGTTCCCATGGCCATAGAGAATTCACAGTAAGACCGGCACCTTGGCTGCCCAGACCCTTCAATCCAGTCATTTTCACAAGCACGTTAAAATTTAATTTCAGTAAAATTGCTTATTTATTGTTTTACCCTATTTCTGCCTTCTGAAGAAATAATAGGTTGGTATTTTGAAGAAACACATGAAAGTCAAGTAGATGGATAAGTTTTAGAAATACTGTAGTTTTAGATGTATCATTTTTAGTTTTGGCACAAAGAACATCCTAAGTGTAGAGTAGTGCTGCCTTTCAACATATTCTGACATCTTGGGTTGTGCAGTGAATAGGATTGGGGATTTTACATGCTCTAACAGAAAGGTTAACTGTAGAATAAACAGGGAGCAGATACACAGCTTTAATTTTATTGAGAAAATCTTCAGTGATAATATTATTTCATGATGGAGTTTGAATTTTTTTCTGCAGTTTCTTCTTCCTAAGTTGTTCTTTGTTCCATGAAAGAAAGCAATAGTTAAATAAGGTTATAACCAACATAAAAAACTGCAGAGTTTTTTAGGGCTCCAGTCAGTTATTTGGCCAGCGTGCAAGGGTTCCTGCATCTGAGGAATGTTGGTTAACTTTGCAGAAACTGCGTGTGCATGGAACCACTTGGAAGCTAACACCATTTTTGTGCTTAGCTAAAGCCAAAATCCTTCAAGTATGGTGAAAGTAGGAGGAAATACCATATATTTGGAATGTGAATAGGAATCTGACTTTTTAATGTACAAGTATGTGTTGTAAAGGTGGGAAACAAATGTTTACATATAATCATGCGTGTTGTTTTTAAACAAAATCTTTCCTCAGGAGAGAGAACGAAGGTCGCCGGCATTTAATCTTCATATAACCACCTTCCCTGAAAACAATGGAAGTGCACTTCAACTGTTCTGTCAACAGGAAGGAATAAAGGTATATGTAGAGCATTAGTAGCAGTTGGATGGCCAGGATCTTTTTCGGAATGACCAACCCAATATCCAAACAAATGGTTTGCCATCTTGCTGTAGGGAAGAAAATCTGAAAAAATAAATATAGTAAGAAAAGATATTTTTAACTGGGGAAAGGGTTTCATAAGAATATGATCTGGTAGTCTGTCAGGAGTTCATCAATGAAAATGAAGGCTGGTCAATCAAGATAATTTACATTTGGTCTGGAGTACTGCTGTAAAAACATTGCAGAGAAGAATGTGATTCATTGTCAGGCTTGCTACAGTACTTTCTTCTTGATATTAAATGTTTTCATCTAAGGTCAGAATATGACGTTCACCTATTATTTTACACCCAATTTAGTGAAGCAGCTATGCATTTTGTTTGTTGAATTAATATGCTTAAGTTATTTGCCTAGGCCAGGGCCTTGAAGCATGAGGCGCCTGATCGAAAATTTATTCAAATAGGTGAGACTCTTATCTATCATTTTAGATCAAGCACAAGATAAACATTCAGATCTCACTTGGTTAGCTTCTGCTGTGAGGAAGCAAGAATTACTCTTTTCACTTCTGTTCTCCCTTGTATAGGCTAGCTGCACAAATTGATTTGCATGCTGGTTTACTTAAGACTGAATTCAAACTTGCTTTGTCAGTAAAGTTGCACAACAGGCCAGGGTAACTTTTCTACGAGTAACTAAAGTGGAATGTCTCTGTGTGTTACATACTCCATGGCACTCACTGGTAATTTATGCTTGTATTTGTAACTGTGTTTACAAGTCCTCTTACAGAAGGCTTGTTTCTATTCAGTGCCTTAATAAGCACAATACTATCTGTAGTGGAAATAAACTGAAATAAACTGTACATATTGTTAGGGAGCTGAGTAGTCTAAAAGAAAAAAAAAAAGTTAAAACCTGCTTCTTACCTACAGGTTTGGTTGGGTAGTCATTTCCCAAACCACACCAAAAGTCATCAGTTAGCGTATTACCTTTCAAATAGAGCCTCCATGGGATGCCAGACCTGCTTTTTAGCTTATCTGTTATTCTAATTTGCATGTTGGCTGTAGCAGGTACAGCTGACCAGGATCTAGAATTCATATTTTTTTCTATTGTCTTCTGTTGCATTCCTAAACAGAGGTGGTTTTTTTCAATCTGCCTTTCAGTTCACTTACCTGGAAGCAGGGGCAGTCACCTAATACGGGCATACTGAAATTGTTGACTTTTTATATGTTTTCAGTGTCTTTTGAAATTGTTAGCCATCAGTAGAAAATTAGATTCCAGAATGATGCAAAATCTGATTTGGTTTCTAAATCTTCCTATATGCTTCACATGGAAATAAATGAATTAGAATGAGTATTTCTGGCTCAATAGGTGCAAGAACTTGCATGTCTTACTAGTGAAGAATGGAATTCAGTGTAACTGATCAGCTAAAGAAATTTCCATTCAACATTGTCAATGCTGATCATAATCAATAGTTTTGTTTTTAAGACGGATCCAAACACAAGTGTGTATTAAGCTCCACACCATTCTAAAATTACTGATGTGCACTGTTTGATAGCTGATGTAACATTTGAAGACACTGCTGAGGTGTTTGGGAAGAGAGGGAAGAGAGGGAGGGGACTTCTCAGGATAGACCAACTTGAACACAACACATTATTCCTTTTTGGAGCCAGGATGGACTAATTTGTAGATTCTCTCCCACATCTGTGTCTAGTCTTCAGGAAATCTTTCATTTCTTATTGAGCCTTCCTCACTGCAGTCTGATAGGGACAGAATCATGAGCAAATATATTCCGGTGTAGCTATGTAATTTACAAGCATAGCTAATTTAGCTTTAAAAAAAATTAAAGATTGATCATCCTGACTACCGACATAATGCAGTTGCACAACACATAGATGCAAAACAGCATGTTACGTACTGTAAGTAATGAAACTAGTGAGCCAAGACACAGCCCTCTGAAATGTTGGCCTCTTCTAAAAAGTGCTGAACATGAGTAGAAGTTGAGGGTGCCAGCATTTAACAAGGCAGTCTTACTTTATGCATGTGCATTAAGCATTTTGGACTAACATGAACTGGTCTTTGCCCATGCTCTCAAGCCTTCCTACCTTCAAATAGCATGGCTGCATACAAGCTGTCAATGGGAATGATCCCTGGTCCGCGTTAACTTGTGGACCACACTTTGGATAGTTCAGGAGGATGTGATTAGCGCAGGTTAAACAGTTCCATGAACCTTTTCAACAACTTTTTAACGTAGAAAATAGAGTTCTGGGGCCTATGAATGGTCCCTGGCACTTTGTAAAATAGACATCGTGTGAATTTATTCCTCTCTCTTTTTGTATCAGAGGAGTGTTTTTCTTGATTTCAGTGACCAGGCCTTAATAAGGATGGTTTGTTCACTGCTTTTTGTGGATCTGGGGGCTGACTGGCAGAGAAACGTGGCTTTCTACTCACAAAGGTTATGAGCTGATAGTGTTTGGAGGAGCATGTTCAGTGCGCCGTGCATATTCCCTTCTGCCACTGTAAGGCTGATTCGAATCTCCACTTTTTTGTTTAACAAAGAAAATAAAAACCAAACCACCCAACAAATCTTCTTAGCAATTATTTTGTTCATGCTCTCTGTCCTTTTAACTTCTGTACCTTGCCGTGCTTGATGCTCCACTCCAAACAAACAGAAAAAACCAGTCCTTTAAGCCTGTTCATCAGTTTTGATCTTTCATCTGCATACATCAGCAGGATGATAAGTGTAAATGGTACCGGAACATTCTGCCCTCATAAACAGACATCCAGGTTGCTTGCTATAATCAAGAGTGACATTTGGATTTGTCTCTGAAAGTATCAGTAACACTTTTGTAATTGTGATGCAAAACTAATGTTTCACTTATTTACATTTCAAGTCTTTTTGCATGCAGAAGTGAATAAAGGGTACATAAAATGTAGCATATAAAAACTGTTTCTCACCTACTTTATAAAAAATAAGTGTTGAACATCTTTTTCAGGACGTGAATATATCTGAACTTATGAAGAAGCTAGATATTCTTGGAGATAATGGGGTAACAAATTTTTCATTTCAATTATACCTCTAGTTTTACGGTTATTTGAAAGCAGGGTTTTTTTTTGCCACAGCAGAAAATAACATTCAAGAAAATGCACAGGGTGATTTTTATATGCCTATATTCGTATGAACAATATGAATGGTTAGGTATTACTTTTACAAACTTAAAAGAAAATCTTTCCGTTAAACTGATGCTAGTGAAAAGTGTATTTTCTCAGGACAGGATTTGATCTTGGCTGAATGACATGGAAAAAAGGCGCTGTAGTAGGCAGAGGGAAAAGATATAAAACAGACTAGAGGAGAAAAATAAGGAAGTCAAAGCCAGACCAAATTATTCCTGAATTTTTCCTCTTGAGTAGTAATAGTAGCACCTGCTACTGTGAAGGATGCCTCTGCCAGGAGTGGATTTTCTGGGAGAAAGGGCAAGGATAACTGGTTCCCTTTCTTCCCCTGTATTGCCATATACAGTATAAAATCCTGGTCATGCAGTTGGGGCACAAATATTCATGAAGCTGTGTCCAGTTCATAGGTAGCTTTAACAGTCTGTGGTCTTTATAATACTAGTTTTAAGCCCTAAATTTACTTTTGATGTTGAAAGTTCTGTGGAGGTTTCTATGGTACTTGCACTTTCTTTGCATTGTTTTCATTAATGGGAAGTCTAGCTCTGAAGTGCATGAGGGGGAGATTCACTTGCTGCAAGGCTATAGTCCAGTGAATTGGCATTTTTCTGGCTAGAAAAAAAAAAGAAATTTCAAAATCCCTGACAGAAACCACTTAATTTTCATTGAATAATGAACTATTGCAAAAGTGTTGTGGGAATGGTGTACTGAAATAGAGTGGAGACTAAGTACCCTTGGTTTAGCTGTTAATACTTTCAATCATGGGATCCTTTCTGGTCATGTTTATAAAATCCTAAATGTTATAGCTGATTTACTGTTTAAAGTACAGTTAAAATTTATTGCATGTGTTAAAGGATGGATTTCCAATCCAATTTAAAATGCATCTTTTTGTATTTTAGAATTTGAGAAATGAAGAACAGGTTGCAATAATTCAAGCTGGGACTGTGCTTTCCCTCTGTGAAAAGGTAGAATTCAGTAAAGATTTTTCTCTGCCTAAAGACTGACCATGTCTTCTAAGATATCACATAACTTTGCCAGGGAAGCATGGCTTTTCTGTTCAGGTCGTCTGGATTGGAGCATGTATTCATCCTTACATGACTGTTGGAATTGTGATGTCTTGAGGTAAAATCAAACTTTCAAAATAAACCAAATTTAAAAATAAAAACATATTTTGGAGATATTCCCTTAGAATATAGTACTAAAAAGCCACTGAACAAAAGAGACTTCATTCTCAGAAGTGCCAGTGTTCTCAGCTCTCTGGGAACAGGGTGCTGTGAAGTCCTCTGTAAGTCGTACCACCATGGTCCATTGTGGGCTCATTTCTGTGTATGACTGGAAAAGCTCCGAGTGGTCTGTGGTCCTTTCCTCTGTGAGTTAGTGGGCAGTAGCGAAAAAGTAGTTTGTACAAGATAGGTAATCAGTCAGGTCACTCAGTTCTGCATGACTAGTTCTTTACTTCTCCAATTACACAGAGAATATAATCTGTATATGAATAAAGATGACATTTAGAACTAAGAAAGACTCGCCTTTTTTTCTGAAGAAGCTTTATGCATCCTTTTCATAGGTTTCTATTAAATCTTTCCTAGATGCATTTTTGAAATTCAGAATCAGAACATTAAAATTAAAATTTGAGCATTTTGTAATAATTGCTTTAATTGATATAATTTTGATAATCTACTTATCTAAATATCTTAATGTAGATAGTCTAAATTAGGTAATTTAATAATCATTGATTTAAGTGAGTGATTCTACAGGCAAAATAAAAATGAGGAAAAGTGCTAAAATCCCTATGCTTTTCATTGCATTATAGCATTAAAAAGAGGAGGTGATGACCATAACACTTTACATCCAATAAGGAAAGCGGAAGAACCCCAGTACACAAGGCCATGATAGAGAGCCAAACCGGACAGACTTTAGGGACTGGATTGGGTTATTATTGCTCAAGTAAATTAATGCTTGTGCAGAAAGTGCCACTGGAATTAGGGAGTTTGTTTAATTTGTGTCAGAGTGGTGCAGAATAGAACATACATTTTGTTATCTATAAATTATTTCCATTAGCAACTGATCACAGCAATAACGGATTGGAAGCTTTGTCAACTGCAATAATTCCTTAAATGAATAGAAACATACAATTACAATGGAGACTTTATTTATTTATGCTAAAGTTGGTCTATAATTTCATTTCACATTTTTTTTTCTTTTTTTTGACAAAAGTTCCTAGTTTGCCTTAACGGATTTTTTTTGTGGTCTTATCAGATAATCTGGTTATTACAGAAATTGAACACTCCGTCAGAAAGATGGAGATTTTAGTTTTATCTTGTATAGGTAAATGGACTGGATTTAAAGAATGAGATGAAAATAGTTCATGTTACCTATGGACCCTATCCATTTTATGTCATTTTAGTGAAGTGCCTCACAGTAATCTAACAAGTACAAGCTGATAGCAAATTGGATCAAGAGGGTACTCTGGGAAGCATGAAACCTTTTCCTCTTTTTCATGGTGCACATTTGAGGTACAGGCTAATCAGGTGACTCTGGTTTTCTCAGTAACAGAAGGCACTATCCACGTCCAAAGTGTCCAAAGACAAAGAATAACAGAAATTAGTCTTATGCTGTCCTTAACAAAACAAACATGATACCAAGTTTCATAATACTGTGTTTTACAGCACAGACGTCGTCAGGCAAAATCTGATAAGTAAGACTGGATGATTGTTTTAACATAAGTTCTATTGGGTGCATATACTGAATTTAGATTAAAGGAAATTTAAAGCAACTCCACTGCCTTCTCCAGCGTAATGTAACCATCTCGATGTCCCTCTAAATAAGGGCCAGACAGCTTCCCATATGCATTCCTATAGTTCCTTAATTACAAGAAACTATCATACATAATCATCTCATAATGGGATCTTTTGGTAGAGAAATGGTACTCAGTCACAGCTCTTGGGCTAGTTATATTCACGTGCTAATTAATCACACTCAGTGTTTATTTAGGTCAAATCTATTATACTCAGCCACTATAAGTGATCTTTTGGAAATGAAGCAAGGAAAGTTTCTGGGTTCTGCTGGCACAATTCCAGAAGCTTATTTTGAATGCTACAACTGATTATGACTCCTAAATACATGGTTGTCTCTTCTGTGCCTCTTGGTTCCAGAAAGGCTTACAGGTATAGGAAGATCAGAATCAGCATTTAGTTTTGCATATCATTCATACCTTCAAAAAAATTAGGCCTCTAATTTTTGCAAATAACCCTTCATTTGCAAATATTGAGGGTAGCTGTGAGAGATGCTGAGGACTTTCTATTTCTATTGATTTCAAGGGTTCAGAATGCTCAGTCTTGCCGAATGCTTTATCAGCAGTGAGACTTTCCTTAGGAATATCTTCAGTCTGTCACCTTCAAAATGAAGAAAACAAAGATGATGAAAATAGAATCACTGGGGAATATGGTGTTCCTGTTCACTTTTTTCAGTTCTGTACAAAGCTAAACCTACTAAACAGATAAAACAAGTTTACATTTTTATCCACTGGTCTCTTAAATAGCGGAAGGTCCAAAGGATGAAGTAATGAATTCACATTTTGCTTGTTTGTAAACTTATGTTTGCAGATTTCCTGTCTAAATCTTTGGAAAAAAATGGATATGTCATTAATTCCTCTGAGTCTGAGCCCCAATGAATTCACCAAAACCCTAAATTAAAAAAAGTTGATGTGTAATGCTTACCAAAAGAATTAAATAGGAGTAATCTAGTGTTAGTAAGCAAAGCATTTGAGGAAAGTGATAATTATCAGTGGCAAAGCTACAGTTGGTCTTAATGGGAGCTGGTGCTACAAAAAGAAGCATTAGTCTAAACTATACTCTCTGTAAGCTAGTCATTGATCCTTTTTGTAGACCAATAAGGAAATGAAATAGAACAATTCAGAACTGAGCATTCCCATCCATTCCAATAAACTTAAATACTGAATATTAATATAATCCTGGTGATGGTTAGTAATTAAGCACAAGTAATTCTATCCATGCATTTAGCTATTACAATATGTAATTTTACCTTTGGAATGCAATGGCCATTCTTCCTAATTCTTTATCACCAGAATGGTAAAGGATTCATCATAGCAACCGCATGAACTTCCATCTGTCTGTCGGTTTTATTGTTCCCTCTACATTATCAATGTTTTAGAAGTGAGCCTTTTCCCACGAAGGGTGCAGCAAACTGTGCAAAATAAAGGATCGAGTTTGCCACCTTGCCTTTTGTTTAAATTGCCATCTGGAAAAATGCAAGACTGGTGCCCTGAAATCATATGATGGTTTTGCAAATCAGGCCAACCAGCATTGGGTATATCAAGTTGCAAACAATCAGGTTAATTTTGCATTCTTCACCCAAGTCTATTTTGTATCTTGAACTTTACAGGGGGAAAACCCTTTAAGTTATTGTAGGAAAACAGCCTCCGCTTGTTAGTCTTTAGTATGTTTCTACAGTCCTTCATTCTGCCTGTGTTTTCACAACCTTATTCATGTGTAACTTCAAAGTGAATAGACAGTGAGGGGAATAATATGCCTGGGAGTGTTGGCAACAAACTTGCAAAATGTTCAGTGCAAATTTTTCAAAAGCTCTGTTTTTATCATTTTTTATTTTTTCCTCCTCACACTGCTATGTTCATGTAGTGGTTAAAACAGATAGAGGGGACAGAAGCTGCACTGACACAGAAGATGTTAGACCTGGAGAATGAAAAGGTAAGGAACAGTAACTAAAAATATAATTCATTTAGGCAAAACTCATCTCAAGGGAACGTGTATAGACTTCATCACAGGTTGATTTGCTGCCTTTCTCTGCTTAACAATTGCTTCATGGTAAAATTGGCACGAGGTTTCTAGAACAACTTACTGCTTGTATTCTTTGGGGTGGGAGGGAACTGTCAAAGCTATACAGAAAAAAATAGCAAAAGATACACAAATTAGGACACAAAGGCATAACTTTACAGAGCGTATTAACCAAAAAGTGTGAAATTGTCTTTGTGCTTTCTCTGTGTATTAATTTGTCTGGCAACAGCATCGTCTTTTTAATCTTGGGGTCATGTTAATAGAATTGTCAAGGATATTCCTTTGCTCTCTGGTATTCAGCTTCTGGACAAGTTGTAAAGACCTCTTACTCCAGATGACCTTTCTTGCCCCAAGGTCTTCATGCTTAAAGACAGAATGTTTTCTCAAAAGCAGTTCTGTCTTGCATAACAAACTCAGTGCTATACTGACCTTATTTTTCAATATGTTGAACAAAGAGTTTTGGAATGAGTGGTTTTATTGGTTTACCGTGCATGCTGTGCTTCTCATCTTCAAATGGCTTTACAAACACTGATTAATCCTCGCCACACCTTTTACAGGTAGATAACTAAACAGCATTACATTCATCTTAAAGAATGGGAAACTGAGACAGGGAGGTTAAGCGATTTGCCCAGGGCCACTGAAGAAGTGTGTATTTGGGCCACAATCAAAAAAAGAAGTGCTCAGACTGTGTTCTCTGTTGAGAGTAGCCTATCATACTGGTTGTACTTTAACACAGGTATGATCCTTTCGACAATTATTTTTAACTTGTTATGGAAAAATGCAAAGGTTTTGGAGAGGGAAAGTGCCCACAAATACTAGATTCTTTTATAAAAGGAACTGGAAAATGATAGTTTCTTTCTAACTTGGTTTACTATCTTCCCACTTATTTGTGATGTTTTCAAGTCTTAGAATCATAGAATCATTAAGGTTGGAAAAGACCTCTAAGATCATCGAGTCCAACCGTCAACCCAACACCACCATGCCCACTAAACCATGTCCCTAAGCGCCTCATCTACACGTCTTTTAAATACCTCCAGGGATGGGGACTC